TTTTTATTTGTACTAGTACAAATAGTAGCAGCTTGTAAATCTCTGCTCTTCTGTAGTAATTCACATTGTTGTTATTTTAAAAATTATTAATAAAGATACGAGCAAGGCCTCACCTTAATATTAAAAAAAAAAAAAAAATTAATCCTAACACCTTTAGCTGTTTTAGGATAAGAAAGATTAACATGCCATGAGCATCCTATTATTTTGGAATCTCTTTCTCTTTGATCCTTAGCTAAAATAGATTTCTGAGCCTCATATATGCGAGTATAAGAACATTCATATGTCTGATGCCTTGTAACAGTATTATCAGTTGGATCTTTGGCATACCTTTTTTTACATATACAGAAGCCTTGTTGTTTGGCGTAATTATCAAGGTACTTTTCAGCAATTTCTCATGTTTCAAATTGTAATTCTTGAGTTAATACTAATGGTTTCATTTGTTTTTCATCATCACTGTTATATAATTCATCACTTTGTTGACCACAATCGTCATTGTGAACTTCATTTGTATCCTCTACTTGGGTTTCATTGTCTGCATCTATGTATTCTGGATAAACTTCATTAATCATACTATTATCATAACCACCATATTGAAAGCCGTAATATTCAAGTGCTTCATTTTCTGGATTTACATCATCAGATTAATTTTCACTAATTATATAATTATCATAAGTGCTAGATTGAAAGTCATAAGATTTAGAAAAAATAGAATCATAAGGGAATTCTGAGACAAGCGAAGATTCAGATGTGGTATTATAATAGGGGAACTCCATAATAGATGAAGTGACAATTTAATTATCAGGTAATGATTTATTAAGATTTTAACTTAAGTTATATATTGAAGGGTTAAGTACTAGCAGCTTCAACTGCTATCTATCTTTCTATGTGTAATGTTGTGCGAATATGTGTTTTTGGGTACTTAATACGCAAGTATGTATATTTAGACCATTAATTTATTTTTCACTTTAGCAAAGAAAAGATTTTTATTGTTATTTTATTTTTTTTCTTTTTATTTTATCATCATTATGCGTATTATATCTACTTATCTAACTTATATATACTTTATTTTACTACAATTATATTTTTTTGGATACTTTTAATTGTCATATCTACATATCTATCTTATACTTAATTTTGTTGTGCTTATACTTCTATATGTGGGCTGTCTTTTTTTTTGTTATTTCTATTATATTATCATTGTTCGTATCATATCTACTTATCTAACTCACATATACTTCGTTTTACTATGTTTATATTTTTCTGGATACTTTTATTTGTCATATCTACATATCTAACTTATACTTTGCTGCATTATAATTCTGTATAAGTGCTACCAAAAATGAGACTTCAGACTTTTGATTATATAACGTACTAGACAAAACCCTTAAAACGTTTGATCAGCAATATATGATATTCAATACTATTATATGTTTATACTAATCAAAATTTTCAGAGTATTTTGTCATTATGTTATATAATTGAAAGCCCGAAGTCTCATTTTTTCATCGCAATACTCATATACATTCATTATTTAATTGTTTATTATTATTCCGTTTCTTATGATTCATATCATTTAACCTTCGAAAATACGATCAATGATACTGTTAATTTGATACATTATTAAATACTAGTAGATCGAGTTGGGTTTAGGAAAGTTGAATTAGCTATTAGGTTAGGGTTAGGGTAAGGTGGAGTAGAACCGGCTAGCACTGGTAGTATTAAATTAGAGTTAGGGTTATAGTTGTAAAGATATGATTTAATTACGATATTAAGGTTATTTTATTATGTAAAGCGATTTCACTAAAAGATAGATAATTTAATTTAAGTGATATAACTCAGAAGTGATTTCACCTAAGTAATATAACTCTGGGGTAGAGATTGGAACCAGTTTAGTATATCAGATTTTTAATCAGGTTTAATCGTTTCGAATTTTAAACCAGGTTAAAAAATTTTTACTCCAATAAACCGAATATACTATAACCGGTTATA